TGCCTTTCATATGACATGGAACAGACCGCCCCCCAAACACCTTAACAACCTGCCCCCATCCAAGGGAAGGATTAAAAGCATTCAACTTTGCTGGCCGCGGTGGCTCACACCTGTCAACCCAGCATTGTGGGACTGCCTGAGCCCAGGAGTTCGAGATCAGCCTGGGCAACTTAGTGAGACCTCGTCTCTCCAATAAATCAAAAAATTAGCCGGGGCGTGGTGGCACATGCTTGTATTTCCAGCTACTTGGAAGGCTGAGGCAGAAGGATCGCCTGAGCCCAGCAGGTCAAGGCTGCAGTGGCCGTGAGCATGCCACTGCACTCCAGCCTGGGTGACAGAGTGAGACTCTGACTCAAAAGAAAAAAAAAAAAAAGCATTCAACCTTGAGCAGCCATGTCATTGTTTTGTTAAGCACTGGCCAGGCCATGTGTTCTTTGAGCTTTGGCCACCATGTTTCCTAAACCTTGACTCCCTCCCCTGCCTTGGGGAGGTGAATCTCCTCTCTCTTCTCTCTGATTTACTTTCTAAATAAACTATATTTTCCAATCTAACTTCTGTGCAATTCTTTGCGTCCTTCGCGTGGCACCAGATCACAGACCAGACCCTCTGTGGGCCTGACCGAACACTATTTAATGTGAAGTATTGTTTTTCACTCTTTGATAAATAAGTGCGGTCGAGTTGCTGGTGAGTGACACATGGGACGTCTCCAGGGGTAAAGGGCTAGTATGGCCCGTACATAAAACAGTATGAGGACTTCTTGAAAAACTACAAGTAGACCTACCGTGTGATCCAGCAATCCCACTACTGGGTATTTATCCAAGGAAAATAAACCAGTATGCCAAAGGGACACCTGTATTCACGTGTTTACCGCAGTACTGTTCACCACAGTGAAGACACGGAACCCCAACCTCAACGCATGGAGAAAGAAAATGTGGTGCCTATGCCCGATGGAGCACAGTGGCCACAGAAGAGTGCGATCATGTCACTGCAGCAGCACGGATGGAATACGGTGGTCATCGTATTACGTGGACTACACCAGGCAAAGCCAGAAACTGCAAGTTCACATTCTCACACAAGGGAGCTGAAAAACTGGGTCTCGAGAGAGATGGAATGACAGACCCCGAGGCCAGGGAGGGGGTGAGGGGAGGAGAGGTTGATTGATGGGTACAGACACGGAGTTAGAAGTCCGTTCCGATGTTCCACCACAGAGGGACTGGAGTTGGCAACGATGCATTCCATATTTCATACTGTTTTATGTACGGGCCACACTAGCCCTTTGCACTTGGAGACATTCTGTGGGTCACTCACCAGCAACTCGACCGCACTTATTTATCAAAGAGTGAAAAACAATACTTCACATTAAATAGTGTTCAGTCAGGCCCACAGAGGGTCTGGTCTGTGATCTGGTGCCATGCAAAAGACGCAAAGAATTGCACAGATGTTAGACTGGAAAATATAGTTTCTTTAGAAAGACCTCCAATGCATAGAAATGACAAATACTCAGGACCACAGACACCCTGGCTTGATCATGACACATGCTATGCATTGTAATATGTGCACATGTACCCCGTAAGTATGTAAAATATTACATGTCAATAAAATATAATTTTTGTCTATCAGGTAAGAAGCTGAATTTTAGTATAGTATTGTTGAAAACATGGCAAATAGGCACCCCAGTGTGTTAGGAGTTTAAACTGAGCTCAAGAGGTTTATTACATTTGTCAGTATCTAATTTAAAAGTGGCTGGGTGCGGTGGCTTATGTCTGTGATCCCAGCACTTTGGGAGGCTGAGGCAGGAGAATCACTTGAATCCAGGAGAATGAGACCAGCCTGGACAACACAGTAAGACCTTGTCTCTACAAAAATATTAGCTAGTTGTGTCATGCACCTGTAATTCCAGCACTTTAGGAGGCCGAGGCGGTAGGACTGCTTGGACCCAGGAGTTCAAGACCAGACTGGGCAATATAGCAAGACCCTTGTCTTTACAAAAAATTAGCCAGGCATGGTGGTGCATGCCTGTAGTCCCAGCTACTTGGGAGGCTGAGGTGAAAGGATCACCTGAGCCCAGGAGGTCGATGCTGCAGTGAGCCGTGATCACGCCATTGCACTCCAGCCTGGGTAACAGAGTGAGACCGCAACTCAAATAAAAAAGCATATGCTTTCTAATCCAACAATTCAGTTTCTAAAATTTTACCCTACAGACATAATCACACCAAGATGCACATAAACAATGATTAGCTACAAACAACTTGTTCCCCAGCCGGGGATAGCGGGATGGTAGCCACATGGCGCACTGCATCACGGGACACCATGCAGCCCATAGAAACAAGAGAGAAGGGGTGGCGGCCACGGATAACCTCCCTCTTTAAACAACGAGGGGCACCCTGACATGTACAGCGCAGGGACACTCAGGTATGCCACGAGCCTTGGGAAGGAGGCACCTGGGGGTTTGGGCAGAGGGGAGACAGCGGGAAGGAGACAGAAGAGCCTTTGATATTTCCTGCTAAACCAGGTACACGTGGTAACGTTTTTAATTTAAAAAGCATGTTGGAGCCAGGCTCGGTGGCTCAGCCTGTCATCCCGCGCTTTGGGAGGCTAAGGTGAGTGGATTGCCTGAGCCCGCGGGTTCAAGACCTGTCCAGGCAACTTGGCGAGACCTCATCTCTACAATAAATCATAAAAATGAGCTGGGCGTGGTAGTGCACACATGCAGTTCCAGCTACTCGGAAGGCTGAGGCGGAAGGATCGCCGGAGCCCAGCAGGTCGAGGCTGCGGTGGCCGGGAGCGGCCACTGCACTCTAGTCTGCGTGACAGAGTGAGGCTCCAGCTCAAAACAAAAACATGTTGGAAAAAAATATATAGCCATGTTTGCACACAGACCATAATTTGTTTTTAGCCTCTTCCTTCTAGCACCTTCTGGGCCCTCATCAGTCTTTACCTGGAGGGAGAACTCTAGTTCTTAGACCCTGGATTCTTATTCTGCTTCACAAAAGAATAAGCTCTTCATTAGTTTAAACCAGCGGCGTGAGTTTCTCGAACCCCAGTAGAGCACAGTCAGGTCCACTGGCCCTGGTCTGCTGACACTCTTAAGCAGGTGTGTGTGCTCAGGGCACAAGGCTCATGCACCAACCAGAAGGCAGAACCCCAGCAAGAGAAGCCCACTGGGGGCTGCATCCCCTGTCGCTGAGCGCCCGGCCAGCCAGCATCCTCCTTCCGTGCCTGCCATCCTGGGAAGTGATCCCACGTGTGATCCACTAGCTCGAGGCAGAATGCATGGGGCAGACAGAACCATGGCCTTCCCGACGGCAACAAGCACAGGCAGCGAGGGGTGGCGTTCGAGGCCCGGACACGTCAGGCCTTCGTGAGTGAGGTATCCAACTGCATTTTTATTTTTAAAAATTGCAAAACAAAGTGACGGTGGGGGCCTGATTCTTTGGACTTACAGTAGAGAGATCTGAAGACTCTAATGCTCTGTGCCTGCTAACCTGTCAGGAGGATCCCACGGTGTTTCCAACAAGCCATTACACCCTGGCTTTTTATAGGAGCACCGATCACGAGTAAGTCCCTGTGCCCATCACGCCACTGTCTCCATGCACCGTTGGAGCGTGCACTTGTCTTTGGAGGCCGATTTACAAGGCCTTCTTCCTTGGTCAGGGGTATTGCTAGGCGGAAGCCGTGCTGAGCCTCTGGATAGGAAACGCAGAACCTGCAGGCTGCAAACAGCTCCACTTCCTATGGCTTACACCGAGGCAAACTGTATAACAAAAGGCTGCGTTTTCATCAGCTCTGCAGGAAGTCAAAGTTCACAGCAAGAGACAAAAGGCAGAGGTACCATCTCAGAGAGCTCAGGGCTCCACAAGGGGAGGATTCTCCACTGGCTACTCACGGTATGTGTGGTGTCCCAGAGCTGTGGCAGTTCTGCCTGGAGGCCCGACCCACCTAAGTCATCAGCATCTCAGGACCACGGGTGTCTGTTCAAAGCGAGTCTACACTGTTGAATTTCCCATCATCCCCTTTGGAAGCCGCCCTGGGCAAGTGGCTGTCCAGCCGGCTGTGACTTGAGCATTGATGCCTAAGGTCTAGAACCCAGGCCAGCTCTGGGTCACCCACGAACTTGTGGGTGGACCACACATGTACCTCAGCCAAGCTCCCAGACTGAGGGCCCCAGTGTCCCCAGATTTGAGGGAGCAACAGGACTGCAGCCTGCTTCTCTAGAGACCCATCTCCCAGTTTTCGTGCTTGTTTGTGGCACAGTTTCATTAAAAAAGGAGAGATGCGGAAGCTGAATCCCAAGTCCTCCTGGGGCCCCGCAGCACCCTGAGACCACGCCTCCCCATTCACACACTGCCCACGCTTTTTCAAAAATAAATAGGGAAGTCCCCAAGAGTACTGAGGTTCTCATCCAAACGCCCCGTCCTGATCAGTCAGATGGACCCTCGGGGCTCATTCTGCAATGGGATGAGCAGAGGCCAAGGGACCCCGGCAGGTGGAAGCCCTCCTCGCTGGAGAGAACTCCCGTGCCCCATAGACGCTAATGCCCACAGGACTCTCCCGTGCCAGCCAGGGTCTCTGACATCTCTGCACCAGGATCTCAATACCAAATGAACTACGTGCAAGACCAAGTTACCAACTGGACGCTTAAGGTTTCTGGGAGACGCACCCCCCCCACAGCCCACACACAGGCCTGTTCTTGGCACCAGCCCTGGGACCTGATGGAGTTCATCCAGGATTGCCTGGCCAGGACCTGTGTGGCTCCGTCAGAGACGAGCATGTGGGATGGAGGGGCCAGACGGTGGCCTCGTCCCAGGGGAGAGGGCCAGGTAGGGACTTCAGTCCCAGGAGAGAGGGGCCAGACAGTGACCTCCGTCCCAGGAAAGAGGGCCAATCGACGACCTTGTCCCAGGGGCGAGGGCCAGACGGCGACTTCCATCTCCGGGAAGAGGCCAGACAGTGACGTCACACATCAGAATCCACGCCCAGCTCCAGGAAGGCCCCAGCCAGCAGGTCCCCTCACTCGTCATCACCCGGGGCTTCGCGGAGTCCCTCACTGTGGCGTGTCCGCCCACTGGCCTCCAGCAGGATCTGGGCCTCAGGGTCCACGTCAAGAATGCTCTTGTTGCTCTTGACCTTGGGAGGAGGAGACAGGGCCTGGTGTGATGAGGGGCACCCAGCAGGTGGTGACATCCTGCGGGCTCCGGTCTGCCAGAGAGGACTCAGTGGTCTCCTGTGGCCACAAGGAGACTGGGATGGGCTCCGGCTCCTCCCTAAGGCCTCCTACTCTGAGATTCAATTGCTGGGTGGGTACGAGCTCGTGTGGGAGGTACAGGGGCCCAACAGCAGCTCGGCTGCAGGGTCAGGGAACTAGAAGGGACCCCAGACCCTCACCTTGCAGACAGGCAGAGTGCACGGGGCTGCCCGGGCCCCCTGGGCACATGCCCTGGGCAGGGCCCCCCTGCCCAGGACTGTCCCACTGAACTGGCCACAGATCCCAGACAAGACATCCCCTGCACACCTCTCAGCACCCCCAGGCCAGCTACAGCCGCAGAAATACATCTGGAATGAACAGCTGCAGATGGAGGAGCCCAGGGGCAATGCCAGGAAAAGAAGGCCTAGGCTCAAGGCCATCTCGGACGCAGAAGACACGCCACTCACCGGCCGCAACTCAGGGGCGTCTCCGACTGCCCACACCTCCATCCTATCAAACCGGAAGTTCTCCTTGGCAGAGAGCTGTGGGCTGTTGTACGTGGTGCATGTGGGCTTGGCTTTGCTGTGTCCTTTCCCGAAGTCGACATCCACCCAGAGCCCGAAGTAGTCATGCTGCCCTCCCATGCCCTGCGGAGGAAGCGACGGCAGAGAACAGTGTCGACACCTCCTTGGGGTGGAACCCCAAACCCAGTAGCCTGCACCTCGCCCCCGGCACCGGCCTGAGGCAGGCAGGTGAACAGGGAGCATGGTCTTCCATCAACTGTGCAGGGGGACCCTGCAATGTCAGCACCCCAGGCCAAGTTACTAGAAGAGTCACTAATGTCTCCTGACACCCACCCCAGGGCTCTTCTCGAGAAGCTTTGCTGGAAGCACAAGTGACAGCAAAGAAGAAAAAACAGCAGGGACACAGAAGCCAGCACCAGCAGCCCACCGTAGCGGCCCCTGTCATGCTGTGCAGCCCTGGGCAGTGGATGGCCAACAAGAGTAGGGCAGCCGTGTACCCGCCCCTCCCCACAGGCCCCCTCTGGTCGTCGGCAGGCCTGGAACCCTGGCAGCCCCAGTCCTGGGCAAGAAGAGTCCCGAGGAGGTCTCTAGAAGTGGCCTCTTAGGGCCACACTGTCCCTCCTCGGGCCAAATCCTGGCAGTGACTGGGGACCCACTGGGTGCTACCCCAAGGCCGGAGCCCTCGCCTCCACCATCACCAAACCGCCCTCTCTGGGAAATGCCCGGTGTTCCAGGTGGCCCAGCCACGTCCCTCCCTCTGCCCATGGTAGCAGGGCAGCAAATACGGGAAGGAACGCTGGGTCCCTCTCTGGCCAACTGCCTCCCCTGATCTTACCAGCCCATTAGGGATCGTCTGCTGTCCATGGTTCAGGTACATGTAGTGGTCATTGTAGCCCGTGGGCGTGTGCACAGCCATGTGGGGGGAGACGGAGAACAGGAAGCACTTGTTGTCCCCTGAAAGTGACCAGAGCACAAAGCACATGGGGTCTGTGTTGGGCCCGAGAGAGCAGGAATAGCTACAGCTCAGAAGGAAACAGCAAAGGCCTCACCTGTCCCAGGTGCACCTGACTCGCCGCCCACCTGCGAGTCAGCGGATCGGGGTCAGGACACGCTGCCTGAGGACCGGGTGGGCAAGCTGGGGTGCGGGGACAGGGAGGACAACTAGCAAGGAACGGGACGTCTGTTTCAGGGATGTCCCTCAGCTCTGGCCAGGGGAGCAGGGAATGGAACTCAGCCCACTGTTTGCCGGAAGCAGCTGGGGCCAGCCAGTCACAGGAGTCAGAAAGAATAGGTTTCCTTATCACATGCAACAGCTCCAGCGCAACCTGCCCCAGCAGGCAAGTGACACGCCAGGGCTGTTCCTAACCCAAAAGAATGCACCAACCAGGACAGAGAAAACCTGCAGATGCCTGGGGCTGCCGCAGAGGGCACGATCTGCTGGAAGGGAACTGACAGCCAAAAGTGACCATCCACTGCATCCATGGGCACAGGGTGACCACAAGGGCCCTTAAAGGAAGCTACCAGTCAAAGCTCTAGAAACTACTAGCCCTGGTCTCAGAGTGCTTCATTCCATGAGCACCTTCAGCACAGGGGAGAAGGGTGAGGTCAGGCCTCGCCCACATGGAGCTCCTGGCGAGGGGGTGCTCCCATGATGAGGGCAGGATATGAACAGGGCCTCACATCCCTGAGCAAGCAGACAGGACCTGGACCCCGCAGAGTGTGGGCAAACCATAAGTGACGCCCATGGCCTCCAACCCTGACAGATTCACGGGGCCTCCACGGTCAGGTCTGGGAGACTCCTGGAGGCGACCTCCAAGGCCAGGAGGGCGTCCTGGGACAGAGTCAGCCGGGGTGAGGGCCGCCTCGTGACAGAAGGATCCCACACGGGGCAAGGGGACCATGCAGGGAACGGCAGGCCAGTGAGCATCGGGGTGCAGCAAGGAGGTTGATCAGGCTAGAAAGTTCAGCCAGAGCTGGATAGGAAAGAGTTTCGCCACGGCGAAGGACACGGGCTTGCTTCAGGGCCTTCAGCCGCTCCAGAGAGCGAGGGCAGACTCAGGCCCTGGGACCTGCTTGGCCACACCCTACCGTCCCGCCCCGCCCTCCCACGCTGGACAAGCACCACTGGGCTTCCCATCCCAAGGCTGCTGTCACCCCATCCACTGCTGCAGATGCCAAGCGAGGTCACAGGCCCACGGGCGGGCACTCGGCTGCAGCGGGGCCACATCCTCATCCAGCCCACGGTGCTGCCAGTGGGGAAGGCCACAGGGGGAAACACCCCTCTCCGGGATGCAGGCAAGGACTCGACAAGTCACGAGCCCCTGACAAGACGTCAGGCCAAAAGCAAGGCTCCTCATCTAATTCTCATGATCACAAGTCTCAGCCACGCAGCCAACATTGGCGCATGGGTCTGGACCAGCCACCAGCCATACGGCCCAGTTTCGTGTAACTCTGAGACCCAGGGCCAGAGCTAGGACTCGAACTCTGGTCTGTTCAATCCAAAGCTTCAGGCCTTTTCAACTACTAAACAGAAGACACAGCAAACAGGAAGTGAGCCCCATGGCTGGTAAATCACATAGCGTCTTGGACATTGGAGGTTGTTATTTCCAGGACCAATAGCACACTCTCTGAACTTGGCCCAAAACCCAGGGACCTGTACCATCTGTGGCATGAGGCTGCCCTCTGCTGCAATTTCAGGCTCGCGCCTGAGGACAGGATGAACTCAAGTTGAAAACGTGGTCATTGTACTTTTCTGTTTGTCAGGAAGATGACATCTGCTTGTTAAGAAAACACAAAGACCAGCAGAGGCCATCTGAGGGAACAATTAAAGGCTCGAGATGCTGTTTCTGTGACAGCAGTCCTCCGGGTTTTGTCGAAGCAGAGCTCTGACCACCCAGAGAGGTCGGATAGCACGTCACCTCCCTGCAGCCCTGAGGTCGGCCGGCGGGAGCATGCCCGTTTCCCTGACAGAGACAAGGAGAGGTCGAGGCATAGGCGAGCAAGGACGTGGCGAGCCTGAGGCTGCCATCTTGAGAGAGGCCCTCAGGCTAGACTGGTTGCTGGCTGGCACCTGGGAGTTTTGGTGTGGGGCAGGTTCCCGCCGTTCCCAGAACCAGAGTAAAGATCTGGGCCACCCTGAAGCCTAGAAATAAAAGAAATCCTAGAAACAGCAGGTTTCAGGAGATAGAGGCACCCAACCTGGCAGCTAAGGCTCTCTTCTACACGTCCCAGCCAAGTGGCAATGCTGCCTGGATACACCTCCTGGCCTCCAGAAGCTCTGCCTGGTGGAGGAAGGTCATCCCAGAGGTGTGCAGTAAGACAGAGGGCACATGGGGGACCACGGCAAATCCTGGGGGAGGCAGTCCACCCTTGAGTGCGGAGAATAGCCCAGGTGTGGCATGCCTTTGCAAGCATTTCACAGGACCCTTTTTCTCAGTGTTCTTCGAGGGAAGGAGAAGATTTTATTTAGAGCCTTTCATCCAGTGCAGTCCAACTCATGCAAAGGGCTTCCAAACTCCAGCAAGCAAACACCGCCAGGGGTGGGACAGGCCAGAGAAGGAAGCTGGCGGTCCAGAGAGAGGAAACATCCGATGCGCTGCAACAAGTAGCCCCTGGACTCCTCCCGAGGCGTCGGCGGCCCAACTCCCCCACACCCTACAGATCTGGCTCCACATAATGGCACCGGGCCTGTTTCTTTGTCTGAAAACTAGGACTGGGATCGGGAAAGAGATGCTTAGAGTGAGACACTGCCATGAGCAGCATCACGGTTCACCCCCAAATCGCGTCTGGAGAAACGCACGAGTGACAGAAGAGACCCTCCCTCACACCCACCCTCCACTCTCTCCGGGCTCTCGCCAGCGCTGTGCCACGCCCAGGGGTGCTGGACACAGGGTCTTACCTTGAAACTGAGGCTTCACTTCCCAGGAGCAGGAGGCAAAGCCCCCGAACACGTGGCCGTCGTGGTCCTGGAGGACGGCCACGCAGGGCCCCCGGTGGGCGATGCGCCCGCAGAGCTGCGAGAAGCTGTGCCCGTGGAGCTCGGATGAGAAGAGCAGGCGCCAGCGGTGCCGCCGCTCCTCGGGCAGGTGCGCGTTGACAAAGACGACTGCCAGCACATCCAGGATGCACTCGAAGCTCCTGCCCGCGTCCACCTGACGCTCGGGAACCAGGGTGGCCAGATCCAGGGACGAGCACAGGACCAGGAAGCCCTTGTGGACGACCACACTCAGAAACCTGGCCACGTGGGGGGCCCGGAACACCCAGTCCTCCATCACGGCTCGGTCACAGGCGCAGTCCAGCCACTCAGGCCCCGGGGGCCTCTTGCCACCTAGGGGACGGGACAGTCGCTATTAGCAGGTTGCTCTGCCATCTTACAGCCACTGGGGAAGCCCGCGCTGACCGGAGATTTCAAAGACTCGGTGGGAAAAAAGACCGTAAAACATGCCAATTTCAAAATATTCATTACGTGTTAAAATTGTATTTTGGATTAATTGTTAAAATCAGCTCCACATGTTTCTTTTTATGGTTCTAATGCGGCCACTGGAACATTTAAATTCCGCCCAGGGCTCACTGTGCTTCTGTGAGCCAGTGCGGGCCTCAACAACTGGGCCTCAACACCTTCTCCACCAAGTGGCACTTAAGAGGCCCTGAAGACAGCGCAGCCCTGTGAGGGCTCAGCCCCAAGCCCCTCAGGAGCCGGCCCCTGAGGCGGTAAGCCAAAGCCGCCGAGGGCTGCAGTCAACCTCACCCGCCAAGCTCCAGACGTGCCTTGCCTTCCAGGCAGCCGGGGGGTGGCTGGCACTATCCCGGGAGCCTGTGCTGCTCTGGGAAGAGCAGGGTCCTGAACCCCGAGTCACGCTGGCTTCTGGCGGCCCCTCAGGCCACTCTCCCGCTCACCTCCTGAGAAGGAGGTGACAGGGCAGCAGTGCACAGACACACACCGGACGCCAACAGCAGCTTCACGCCCTGGCGCACGACCTGCATTAACTTGGCAAGGTCTTCACCTCTCTGTGCCTCAGTGTCCTCATGTGAAAAATGGAGGTGATGCCAAAGCCCACTCTGCTCGACAATTGCGAGCATGAGGACAAGAGGGGCGTGTGAGTCCTACACTCCTGCTGATACACACGAAGGCTGACATTCCCCAGCTACTGTCATTCCCGACCTGTGGAAATTCCGGATCTAGAATGAAACCACAGCATCTTCTCTAACTCAGGCCTGTTGTATTCAGCAGGAGATATCAAAGCCTGATTACTGAATCTGCTCCCCAGCTTCTGTGATGTCTCAAAACGCCTACCATTTCTAGTTAAACTATCTTTCAAATGGCTTCATTTCTCATTACCTGTATATTGAAATCCTCTTCTTTTCTTTTCTTTCTTTTTTGAGTCAGAGTCTCACTCTGTCGCCCAGGCTGGAGTACAGTGGCATGCCCATGGCCACCACAGTCTCGAGCTGCTGGCTCAGGCGATCCTTCCATCTCAGCCCTCCAAGTAGCTGGAACCACAGGCGTGCCACCATGTCTGGCTAACTTTTTGATTTATTGTAGAGATGCGGTCTCACCATGTTCCCAGGCGGGTTTCAAACCCCTGGGCTCAGGCAATCCTCTCGCCCCTGCCTCCCAAAGTGCTGGGATTATAGGCGTGAGCCACTGTCCCTGGCTGAAGTCTTAAGGATAGTGGTAATCATCCAACTTTTTCTACTTACATGATAACTTTAATTTTCTATTTTTATGAAGGAAGAAAATAAAAGACCAAGGCAAAAATAAATGAAATGGAGACCAGAAAAACCACAGAGAAAAATCAATAAAACTAAAAGTTGGTTCTTTGAAAAGATCAACCAAAAACTGAAAAACCTCTAGCTAGACTGCCCAAGAGAAAAAAGAAGACTGCAGATGACTCAGACCAGAACTGGGAGCACAGACATCCCCTCTGCTTTGGGAGAATAAGAAGGGTGGCCAGGAAATAGAACAATCGTCACCAACACCCAGATAACCTAGAGCAGGGTCGGAGGCTCGCACTGCTGGCTTCGGGAGCTACTACAAGGTCGCGTCACAGAGACGGCGGGGCCTCTCGCAAAGCAAGGCCTGAGCCGCCGAGGACACGCGGGCACTTGCCTGGAAGCTTCATCTCAGAGAGCAGCTGCGCGGTGAGCTCCTGCACCCTGGGGGCGGGCCCTGGGGCCTTCTTCTGCGTCCAGCCTCTCAGCTCCTGTCTGTGGCTCAGCACGTGCACCACAGAGCCAACCAGGTCCTCTGTAAACTTTAAGATCACGATTTCTCCGTCAGGGACACTTCCACATCCCCAGAGGCTTGTGTTTTATCTCTAACGCCAACTATAAGGGACCACAATGTGGGAACAAATCACACCACTCCCATAGTTATTCGTTCTTCTGATGATGCACTTGGCTGTCCAGGAGTTCTGACCCCAACCAGTTACACGGTTCCAGGGCTCCCCGAGGACAGACACCTCCCCAGTCCATCCCCCACGTAACCAGGCTCAGTCCCCTCCCCGGGGCACCAAGGCCACTCAGGAGGCTCAAAGGGCCTCGCGGCCTCTACCTTTTGGACTTCTCTGGCTTTCACGGGACCGCCTGTGGCAGAAATCATCCTCAGAACCACGAGACTCTTCTCCTCAGCGTTTCCCTTCAACAGGGAGGACATGGACACGGTGAACTGCTCCCGGGACACGTTCTCGCTGGGTCCCATGGCCTTCCCCGTCAGGTCCACCCTCCGCATGCCATTGTACAGCCTGGTGACCATCTCTGGGGGAAGAGCTTCTCCAATGTGGCTCTGCCGGGAACAAGCAGGAGAGATGGCTGGACAGGGCACAAGTCAAAGTGCGCAGGATCACAAAAAATAACCAGGGGCCAAGACTCACCGCTGCTACTCTAGCTGCTTCCATCAGCTTCAAACCCTCCCAGAGCCCACATGCACACCGTGCACCGGAAGGACCTCACAGCACCTATGCATCCCGACAGGCTCATCCGGGCCCTCAGACCTTCCACAGTCTGTCCCCATCCTTCTTCCACGCTCCCATCTCCCGAAATTGGCCCTGTCGCTCCCGCCATGCCTTTCACTCTGCTGAGAGCATCATCTTCACCCTAGACTGCCACAGCCACCACGTGCATGTCTGAGTCTACCAACACACGCAACACAGGTCTGTGTCCTGCCAATCTGGTCTCCCTATTAGGAATTTCCAAATACACCAGCCAGCTTTCACTTCCTATCCAAGTTATTTGTGCTCAATATGTATTTTAAATCAGCTTTTATTTACATTTTCAATGTAATTCTTAATGCTTTGACCATAACGTTCTGTAAATACTGTCTCCCTCTGTCTCCAGCACCAAATCTGATTTGGTCCAGGGACCACAAATAAATGGTGAGACAGAGTAAATCATGGAGAAATCACACACTTCCTGCATGGCAGGGTCTGAAGGCTGATTACCCTGTAGCAGCTGCCTATGTAGACACTGCTTGTTACGACATCAGTATTTGCAGTTCTTCTAAGGAAGGCACCCACCCTCACCACTCAAAAAGAGTACTCCAGTTTCTGTTGGTGCTTGCAAAGTTCTACTGGAAAGTGATTCCCTAATCCCTTCCCAGGAAAACTTCATTTGGTCACCAGGGTCTTCTGATCAACTCTTAACCAGGTCTACCTTGACCAACACTCGAGAACATCACCACCCACTCTGCGGTCAAGTTGTCATCGGCCCAGCTGGTTCTGTTTGTGCCAGCTTAGCAGTGTGTGTCCAGATCTCTTAGGAAGTCTGTGGTCAGGTGGAGACACACACGTTCTCTGCACACACGTGTGCAGATCACATGGCTGTGACCTGAATCACATTCCTAGCCATTTCCTCATCTGTAAAATGAACGTGTGGAGTGGGTCTCCCGTGGCCCCATCAGCTCCCCTCTGCATGTTTTGGAGGAGGAATAGGCAGGAGGCCTCCCTGGACTCCAGGAGGCTGAGCCAATGGCCTCATTTTGCCTGAGTCTTGCCTAAGCCTGAGCACTCAGGTATGCAGTTAAGATCCCACGGAATGAGACAAAAAGATGGGAGAAGCAGGCAATTTTAACTCCTTGTGAGGTGAACCTTGAATCTGAAACTTCATTATTTCACTAGGAATATCATAAAATTCCCAGGACATCTAATACCTACAAACTGCAGAGGCAAAGGTGCACTGGAAACGACATGGGAACTGGACCTAGGAGTCTGCAGAGGTAGCCCAGCACCCAGCCTGTCTCCATCTCTGGGAGGTGGTCAGGAGACACGTGGTTCAAGAGACAGGAAGCAGGCCATCCTCTCTGATGCCAACCTCAAGTCAGCGATGTCCCCAAAACATCATGTAAACCAGTCCGTAGCTACTCCAGGGACATTTCTTTAGTACAGATAAGAGACTATCGATTTCAAAAAAGAGGAGGGATTTGTTTAGATGCTATCTGTGGCTACTTTCCTGCTACCAGGACAGAGCACAGTCGTTGCAACAGGGACCACATGGCCCACAAAACCGAAATACCGAAATACATACTATCTGGCCCTTTACAGAAAACACATTTCTTTAGCGTTCCCATACAACTGTCTTACAAAAACAGGAGAGCAGATTGCACCCCGAGCCCTGCGCCCAACTAAACATGAACCGGCTGTCATTCTTGCCTTTAGTGCCTTCAAAGAGAAAGATCTAGATGAGGTACTGGAGCTGCTTTTATCCGATGACAGAGCCTCAAACAGTCTATCGATCTCAGCCTGCTCCTCCGGGAGGAAGTGTGAGCACAGTTTCTGCCCCGCCCGGCTCCGGCCATTCCCCATCTCTCCTGGGAGCCAGCAGAGTTCTCTGCAGAAGGAAGACACAAAGGTTCAGAGAAAAATCAAAGTGAAATGATCACAGAAATAAGTGTTCATAATTATATGGTCAAGTTAATAAATATTGATTTGGCCACAAAATGCAGCTAAAACGCATCAGAGCTATGTAATAGTGTTTCAATGTGGTAGAAATTAATCGTTAATACAAAAAAGTTGGAAAACCTCAATCGACTTCCACGATCTCCCAAAGCATGCCCATAGTTGTCAATTAACAGTCGGATTTCTTTCTCTTTTTTTTTTGAGTCGGAGTCTCACTCTGTCACCCAGACTGGAGGTCAATGGCATGCTCACGGGCACCGCAGCCTCAACCTGCTGGGCTCAGGGAATCCTTCCGCCTCAGCCTCCCAAGTTGCTGGAACTACAGGTGCATGTCACCATACCCAGCTAATTTTTTGATGTATTGATGTATTGTAGAGACAAGGTCTCACCAAATTTTTTGACGTATTGATGTATTGTAGAGACAAGGTCTCGCTAAATTGCCCAGGTTAGTCTCAAGCCCCTGGACTCAGGCAATCCCCTCACTTCTGCCTCCCAAAGGACTAGGGTTATAGGCATAAGCCACCATGCCTGGCAACAGTCAGATTTCTTTATTTGAAAACACAGCTCCCAAATTAACGAAACTAAAAGGTAGGGGGATAATCTGTATTTTAATTCATTTAAATATTCTTTAAAACTTGGGTTGAGCTGGGCGTGGTGACTCACACCTATAATCCCAACACCTTGGGAGGCTGAGGTGAGAAGACTCCCTGAGCCCATGGGTTCAAGACCAGCCTGGGCAACTTGGCGAGACCTCATCTCTACAATAAATCAAAAAATTAGCTGGGCATGGTGGTGTGTGCCTGTAGTTCCAGCTACTTGGAAGGCTGAGGTGGAAAGGTCGCCTGAGCTGTGATGCCTGTGAGCATGCCACAGCACTCCAGGCTGGGCGGCAGAGTGAGACTCCAACTCAAAAATAAATAAATACAACAAAAATAAAACCTGAGTTGAAAAAAATATCTAAGGCTAAAATTGTCACCTTGTTTCCTTTTGTGATCCTGGCTCTGCCTCCCGCTAGCTGTACAGTCTTGGGCAAAACACTGAAACTCTGTGCCTCGATTTCCCCATCTGCAAAACAGGAATAATCCCAGGCCTCCTCAGAAGACCGTGTGGTCATGAACCGAGTTGACCAAAGCGAAGGGCTGAGAACCGCCCAGCACCGACCTAGCCTGGGACGTCCCAGCCCCTGGTCTCATCGGTCTGAGGTGCTGGGGGAGCATTAACAGAGACGGGCAGCAACGGCAGGTGGCCCCGGGCCGTGTTCACCGCCACAAACGCACTGCAGAAAAAGGTCGAGGGCCAACAGATCGGGGGAGACAAGCAAAAAAGCGTGGCTAGAGATTTTTTTAAATCTCTTAAGAGGTGACGTGCCGTGACCGTTCACTCCATTCCTGGACTTTTCTTGGAAATGCTGTTGGCGAGATGGCTTGAGAGACAACCACCATCTCCACACAGGCCACTCAAGAAACGAAATCAACAGCCAACATTCCCCGCTTGGGGCCGAGCACAGGTAAGACTGACGGCCCCATCAAGACCTGGTTGTTCAAACCCTCCAGGGAAAGCGATACACTCAGGCTCTTCTTTTCCTTCTACTGAGATGAGATTCGTATTAGCTGGCATTAACCATACTCAAGCGTCCACTCCAAGGGCACTTGGCACAAGCAGGATGTCGCGCCGGCACCACCTCGGTCTCATTCCAGAGCACCTTCATCCCCCTCAGAGGAACCTGGACCCCTCAGCAGCCGCTGCTCATCCTCCCTCCCCCACCCACCGGCAACCACCAGTCCACGGGTGTGACAATCTCTCTGCTCTGGACATTTCCTGGAAATGGAACCACGTGCTATGCTGTCTTTAGTGACTGTCTCCTTTCACTCCACAACACGTCTGGGCTCATCCTCGCTGTGGCACGGATCAGCCTTCCCTCCTATGGCTGACTGATATCCCACCGTAAGGACAGACCATCTTACATATTCATTCTTTTGTGAATGACACTTGGGCCGCCTCCTCCCTCTGGCTGTCATGAACAGCGCTGCTGGAACACCATGTACTTGGGTCCCTCTTCTCAAGCTTCTGGACACCGAGGCGTGGACCTGCTGGGCCCCATGGTAACCCTGCTTAACTTTCCAGGATCTGCCAGACTGTTCGCCATGGTCCATTCCCACCAGCAAAGCACGAGGCTCTGAGGTCTGCCCATCCTCACTGACTCTCCATCTTCGTGTCAGGTCGTCGCACAGGGAGCCTCTGACAGGCTTCACTGAGGTGCCCCTGAACAGGAAGCCTCTGGGGGCTCCTTGTAGGGGACTGGAACGCACCCTGCAGAAGCAGGCTGCAGATAACGGCTTCCCAACCCCATCTGGGCAGCTAGTTACGCCCATCTGACCTCAAAGCTTCCACTCCTCAAGTTTCTCAGTAGCAGAAGCGCCAGGAAGGAAAGCCTCCGGCCCTGGGCTCAGTGTCCAACAGCACAGGCAGTTCTCATCTCTGAAATGCAGGGGCTGTCCCCGTGAGCCTGGTCCCTCCAGGGGCACAGCCTCAGGGCCACGCCAGAGCTACCCATCCTCGTCAACTCTTCTAAGAGGCTGTGGGTGTGCCGCCACCACCGCACAGGGCTGACCAGGAGAAGGGAATCTAATGCGACTCCTCAATCCTCACGGATTCTGGAGGAGAGTAGGAGGGGCAACGCGACTGGCCTGCAGGTGACACAGCCGGCCACACACCCCTGCTGAACACTGCTAGTGTCCTAAAGCAGTGCCCACAGGACGCAACAGAAAAGCAGCATCCACCTCGAGACACCTATGAGAGACCAGCAGAAACAGACCCGTTCAGAGTTGCATTTATAGCCAGGAAGCCCAAGGGTCTCTGCAGAGGGCTGAGGAGGGGCGGGTGGTACAGGGTCAGGCAGTCCCAGGGGATTTGGGGGAGGTTCACACTGGATGGGCTTTTTGTTTTTTTTGAATCAGAGTCTCAACTTTTGCCCAGGCTGGAGTGCAGTGACACACTCACGGCCACCGCAGCCTCGACCTGCTGGGCTTAGGCGATCCTTCCGCCTCAGCCCACCATGCCCAGCTAGTTTTCTTTTCCCAGTTCTTATCTAAGATGCAGGAGGAACAGACAGGAAGGAAACAGCATCATCCATGTTCACTGAAACAGGCGCTTGGGTCACTGGGGGTACACACACACCTTCTTTGTATCTGTGCAGCCTGGCCTCCTCTGGGCTTTGTCCTGTCCAGTGTGCCTGAGTGATATTGCTGTCCTATGAACGTGTCTATTCATCAAGAGAGCCCCGAGGCCCAACCTGGTGCAGCAAGCCACCCACTGACCCGGGGACAGCTCCACGTGTCACGACAGACACAGCCTGAAAACCCTAAGAGTCGCCATGTCATGCACGCCACCTAAGTCACGACAGCTTTGGCTGGAAGTTTCTAGGTTCATATCTTCCCCCCTCTCGCCAGAAATTTCAAGATTCTCTCAAAACCTGGGTGAGTGAACCAGGTCGCCAGAAAGGTCACACACGCTTCCTCACCCCGGTCCTGTTACTCTTCTGAAGGCCTACGAGGGACACAAGTATGGACAGCTTCATCCCATCAGGGCCTTCCTCCCCAGGTCACGGATCCGAAGGAGGAGACACAAGGCATGACCCGCCAAGCGGCTGAGGGCGAGGCCTGCCCCGAGCCTGGGAGGGAAGGGCACAGCGTCACATCAGGGCTGGACCCTCAAAGCTGGCCCACAGCCATGCCCACCCAGGCTCCAGGGCTGGAGGGTCGTGCTGTCCACTCGGGGCATCAGGAGTGAGTCCCCCAGTGGCCTCCCCTCTGCTTCCCGCCCCCTCCCTCACCATCCCGCTCAGCCTGTGGGCTCCAAACCCACCCGGGGCTCCTGACCCTTCTCAGAGCCAACAGTGGCCTTGACCAAGGTGAACACAAGCCACCCTCGTTCGCTCTGCTGGGGGCTGGCCTGGCCATCCTGCTGTCCCTGAACATGAACTCGGTCACCTGGGACTCTGCGGGGCCTGGCCCGCTGGCTCCAACACTGTCCCCCTAGTGGCCACGGCTGCTCCTTAGCTCTCTGCTCAGGTGTCGTCTCCCCGAGGGGGCCCCTCCAGGAGTGAGCCCCAGCCTGGCCCTCTGCCTCCTCATCCGCACAACAGCACCCGACACCCCACCCACAGCTCCTCCCTGGTCCGTGACTGGCTCGCCGCTCGGCTCTGAAAGTCACCAAAAGTGCCCTGCTCCGTGGCCACAGGCCCGGCACCGGACACACAGCAAGAGCCGGGACACGTGTGTCTAGGGCCTTGTGACCGGTCCCTTCCTGCCTCTCAGGCACAGGGCTCGTCCGCCACTCACATCGGGAGCCCAGGGGGCCAGATCAGAGCAGCTGCTCCACCACATCCTCGTCCCTGCTCAAGGACAAGCCCAGGACACCACGCCTGTGCCTCCCACAAGCCCCAGTGCCTGGCTATGAGGAAACCAAGCCCAGAAGCACCGGAAGACCGACAGCAGGCCGGGGTGTCGGGCAGGCATCCCCTCCAGCCGATTTACCAGACTGTGCCATTTCAAGGCCACACCACAGACTCTCAGAGTCCTGAGAAAGCTTCCTACCTGCTCAACCAGGGGACACAGCCTGGGGCTAAAAGGCCGAGAACTCCCCGGAAGCCACGGAGGCACCAGTGCATGCAGGGGCTGTGCCACTAAGGGGTCGTGAGTCCTGCCTCCTCCAGGACACTCGCCTTCCTGTCATCATTCTTGCCGGAAACACCCGTCGAGGTCTCCTGGGCCAGACCCGGTAGCCGGTGAGAGAACTTGCCCTGTGGGAGCTCCTGGTCTCAGTGGGCAACAGACAGGGTGCAGGGATCGGTGTGGGCTGGGGGTGAGAACACCAGGGGGTCAAGAGCGCAAATGTCCCCCAGGTCA